AACCCTGTTTCTTACTTAACCAAGAAACTGCTGTTCCACCAAACAAGAACACATGACCACTAGTAGATTTTCTATCATCTACATCTCCTGCAAAATCCGCGTCAGTGTATCCTTTTATGTCTGGATCACACAAACCAAAACTTAACTTAAAGTTTTTAGTGCCTTTTAAATACCTGAATATTCTTTTGACTGCTTGCCAATGTCCCTTACTTGGATTAGATTGAAACCGACTTACCAATCCGACTGCATGACAGATGTCAGGTCTAGTGCTTGTCATGGCATACATTAGGCTGCCTACTGCCTGAGCATACGGAACATTTCTCATTTCCTCAATGTCAGACTTAGTTTGAGGACTCATACTTTTACTAAGACTTTGTCCTTTGCAAACATGCGTACTTAAAGAATTACAGTTATCCATCTTAAATCTTTTGAGCTCCTTGTCTAGATATTTCTCTTGATCTAGATATAATAATTTTGAATTTCTATCTCTTGAAATTCTAATTCCTAGAACATAGGTTGCAAGACCCATGTCTTTCATTTCAAATCTAGATGCTAAGAAAGTTTTGGTTTTTATAATTAGATCTGGACAGTTTCCTGTTAACAATATGTCATCCACGTATAAAGACAATATTGCTAACTTGTCAACATTTTTCCAGATATAAACACAGTGATCTAATGGACTTACAACATAGCCCATTTCTAAAATGGATTGGTGGAATTTCAAGTACCATTGTCTTGAAGATTGTTTAAGTCCATATAGAGATTTCTTCAACTTGTAGACTTTATCCCCGTTGCCTTGGTTATGGAAACCATCAGGTTGCATCATATAATTTCTTCTTTCAATTCTCCATTGAGAAAAACAGTTTTAACATCTAATTGATGCAATTCCAAATCCATCCTAGCTACTACCGCCATTAGAATCCTTATAGAGGCAAATTTTGCAACAGGATTATACGTATCTACGAAGTCTATGCCAGGTTGTTGAGTGAATCCCTTGGCAACTAACCTAGCCTTGTATTTCTCCAAACTTTCATCTACTTTGAATTTCTTTCTAAGAACCCATTTGCAACCAATGGCTTTTCTTCCATTCGGAAGATCGGTTAATTCCCAAACATCATTTTTCTTGATCGAGTCAAGTTCTTCATTCATTGCCTCAAGCCATTGTGGAGAATCACTGCTACTCATTGCTTCATTATAACTAGTAGGATCATCTACTAAGTTATTAAGTTCTTCAACTTGAAAAACATAATGATCTTTCAAAACTGTAGATGGACGTCTTGCTCTCTTACTCCCACTTATCTCAGAATTCGAAGCAGGTAAAACAACGTCATGTAATTTGCGTTTGCTCCCACTATTAGATGGTTTGAGAAGAACATTGTGGACTGTGTGACAAAGAAGGAAGAGAAGAATCCTGAGATACTTCATAGAGCAATTCAATTTGTTCAATAGGAGTAACAAGATCAGTGGATTCAAGAAAAATAGCATCTCTACTTTCTATTAATCCACGTTCGGGATGGTAAAAACGATAACCACTCCCATTTTTGACATAACCAATAAACTTGCATTCCCAAGTTTTGCTTCCCAATTTATCCCTTAAAGGTTTGGGAAAAAGTACATGTGCCTTATATCCCCAAACTTTGAGAGTTTGAACATTAGGTTTAGTTCCATGCCAGCATTCATAAGGAGTTAGAGGTTTGGCTTTTGTTTCAACTCTATTTAAGATATACGCAGCGGTGGACAAGGCTTCCCTCCAAAAATGAATAGGAAGATCAGCATGAGCCATCATAGACCTTGTCATTTCCATGAGAGTACGATTTCGTCTTTCTGCAACCCTATTTTGTTGTGGTGTATATGGCATTGTAAACAAATGTTTTATGCCATACTCTTTGCAGAAAGAATCCATAGCTTCATATTTGCTACCTCTATCATTATTCAAGTGTTTAATGGACCAACCAAGTTATTTTTCTACCTCTAATTTATATTCCTTAAACTTTTCAAGTGCTTCTGATTTGTGTTTAAGAAGGTAGATATGTCCATGTCTTGAATAATCATCAGTGAAGTAATAAAGTAGTCCATGCTTCGATGAGTTTTAGTTCTTAAAGGCCCACAAATGTCCGAATGAATTATTTCAAGTAATTCCGATGATTTTCAATGTTTATAAAGTGGCTTGCTAGTCATTTTACCTTTGATACATAGTTCACATATATCAAAATCATCAGAACATACTTTAGGCAATAAACCACTTTTAAACATTCGAGACATTTTATTTTTATTAATGTGACCTAATCTTAAAAGCCACAAATAAGAACTATTACTAGTAGAAACATGCAAATAATTAGAAATACATACTTTATTATCAATAGGAAGAGAGTACATGTCATTCACTCTTATACCTTTCACTAATACACTCCCTTTCTTAATCAATACTGTGTTAAACCTAAAATTAACCTCAAAACCTTTTTGAGTTAACACCGAAACTGAAATAAAAGTTCGCGGAATGTTAGGTACATAAAGCACATCATGAAGGACAATAGAAGTCCCTTTAATAGAGAATTGACAATTGCAGACACCCAAAACATCATTATAGGAGTTGTTGCCCATATGAATTCTGTTTTCACCAACCTTCTTTTCTGTAAACTCCACGAACATGTCTTTATTTTGCACAATATGTCTAGTTGCAGCAGAATCAATCCACCATGAATTTGATGAAGGCTCAAGTACCAATGCTTCAGAAATTGTCATGGCAACAGGGTTATTATCCCTGTTCTGCTTCTTCTGAGGGCAATTGGCTTTGATATGACCTTTTTTACCGCACTTGTAACATAAGCCAATTTGATGCTTGTGATGTTGTCATTTTTGCCATTCTTGTGGTTTCTTCCATCCTTTTTGAAATCCCTTCTTCCATTTTTTCTTGAAAAAAGTCGTCTTTTTCTTGTTGAATGGAGTGTGGGTATTATTTTGTAGTTGTGGTAAAGATTGTGCCATCAACAAGTTAGAAGACAATCCTTCTTTACGCCTGCGCTTCATTCTTTCTTCTTCTAAAACTAAGAGTACAGGCAATGTGACCATTGAAATCTCTCGTCCGCTATGAGTTAAAGATGTGATAACATGATCCCAAGATAATGGAAGACTATTAAGTATAGTAGTTACTTGCATCTTCTCCGACAAAGAGTGATCAGCGTTGGATAATTCTTTAGTAATTAATTCCATTTGATTAACATGATCACCAACACTATCATTGTCACTCATACAAGTATTATTATACTTGTCCAAGTGCAATTGAATTTAAGTATCCGATCGAACTCCATACTTACTTTCTAGTGCTTCCATTAGTTGTCTGGCAGTTTCATGTTCTTTAAAGAGCGGAATAATATTATCTTTCATATTATGTAACATAGTTGCCTTTGCCATTGCATCATCTTCTATCCATTTATTTTGAAACCAATTAGAATCATCATCTGGTTTAGAAATGGATAAAGTATGCAATGTTTTCTCATGTGTAAGAAGATAAGAAATGTGGCGTTTCCATGCTCGGAAATTATTTCCATTAAGCATTTTGATCCTTGAAGAATCCATGGTATTTTTAATTGTCATTAAAAACAAATGTATACTATTAATTAATATAAAATAAAATAAAATACAATTGTGGACCCAAGATTATAATAATAATAATAATAATAATAATAATAATAATAATAATAATGTATGTTCAGTGAAAAGCAACTTCTTTTCCAAGAGGGGTTTTAAATATTTTACGGCCTTACTTTAATCCTTGGGCTAGGCTTGGTTTTGAAACAAGCCCAAAAGCAAGAGAACTCAAAATTAAATTAGGCCCAAAAAATATGAGAACTCAAAATTAAATTAAGCCCAAAGACAAGAGAACTCAAAATTAAATTAGGCCCAAAAAAAAAAAACATGAGAACTCAAAATTAAATTAAGCCCAAAGACAAGAGAACTCAAAATTGAAGTAGGCCCAAAAACAAGAGAATAATGTATTCTTGTTTCAAATTTTCAAACCAGCAGCAAATAGCATTCCGGTTGTCTGCTTCGGCAAGGAGAGACAAAGAACAAAAATGAAAAATAGGAACTTGAGGGCAAATTGTTCGAACTTTTTCACTGCAGAATTCACCACCTCGCTCCAAATTCTACGATGAACAATATGGAGAAGTTGGTGACTCACTTCGGTAACCGAAAAAAGATTTGTAAATCTTCTTTAACCGACGGTATTCGGATTCACTTTCGACAACTATTCTTCCGTCGTTTTCACACACAACAACTTCCTTCGTGTGTATTATTGGGTTAATCGGATAATTGAATAATCGAATGATAATCGAATGATAGAATAATCGAATGGAAGTTACCAAAGTGAAACACTGTTTTATCAAATTGTTCACTGAATTTTCAACAAAATAAATTCTGAAAATTCTTATTCTCAGGACTCTAATTTCACATTTGCGTACACAATTAAACCTTGCTCTGATACCACTGAAAGATAAACTGAACAATGGTAATGATCGATTAGCCCGTGAGGGCGTTTATCACGCAAGACAAAATAGCCAATCCGGAAGCAAACGGAATGTTTATATATGTATACTGTTTTCTGGGTTTTGATTGAAGTAAAGTAGAAGAACTACATCTCTAACTATTTATAAGTGCTTTGATAACCTTTGCCAAAAGTTATCATGATCTATGGGAATAGATACAATGCTATGAAGCATTGTGTCTCTTTGTGTTTAAATTCAAACACCAAATTACTTCCAGATTGTTCTATGTCTTGCGGGAAGGTTTATTATACTGCAAATGAGAGAAGTTTCAGTGAAGTGAGTCACACCAATTTATGGTGTGGTCACTCTTTATTCCATCACTTTCATCAAACTACCTCTCTATTATATATATATACCTATATACCTCACATTCTATCCATTACATTACATTCCACAACAAAAACCCTAGAACTAGCAAGTGAAGTGCAGAGAGAAGAGAAGACGAGTGATCAAAGAATGGCAATTGCTTTTGGCGTGGGTGGTAAGTTTCTGCCCACAAATGAAGAATTGGTGTCCCATTACCTTTTCAAAAAAGCCATAGAAGAACCACTGTCATATGAACGTATCATCCTAGAGCACGACTTGTACGGTGATGAAGAGCCATGGGACATATTTTGGCGATCAAACTGGAACAAAAACGTCTCTAACTGCTGCTCCTATACTACATTGAAGAAGAAGAAATGCAAGAATCAAAAATTTGGGAAACGTTTTGCTCGCACGGTGGGGAAGGGAGGTACTTGGAGCGGTGTTGACAGCCAACCTATTCGTAATCAGAAAGGAGTGCTTACAGGTTGCAAGAAAAACTTTGTTTACGAGAAGAGAGGATCGGCACAACATGGTCGTTGGCTCATGAAAGAGTTCAGTCTTGACGGTGTTTTACTCGACCACGTCAAGAGATTGAAGCAAGAAAACGAATATCTCATTCTTTCTTTCTCTGTATTATTTGTGTGTTTATTTTGTGCGTTACTTATTTTATAAGAATTCTTAGAATAATATATGCATGAATATTCAAGTCTTGTTTTATAATATGTTATTATTGATGTTGTTTTATTTTGTTTTATGTATTTTTTCTAATACATAGTTGTTGTCTTTGTTTATTATTTAGAGTCGTATACATGTGATCTGGCCTTATAAGAAAAGAAGCGTGGGTTGTGATGTATCGTATCTAACAATTTTACCGGTTCGTGATTATGACCCATTAGGTCCAATCCGGTTCTTGATGTATTCAGATCTTAGTATATATATATATATATTATGAGTTATTTGGAAGATTAGGGTTATTAGATTAGATCAAATTCTTGTTAACAATCTTTGCAATTGTGGTGGTTTCCTGTTTCTAGCAAGTTTGTGGCAATATCGGTGGCTTTCTTTGGGTTGTGTTTGGGATCCGGAGTGGGGCTGTGTTTTTTTTTTTCTTTTGTCTTGGTTTAGTCTGTTGGAAATGGTAGAAAAATTCTGGGTAAAACCAGATTTTTTTCTCAAGTTTGATCTATTTTTTAGGTGGGCCCCGAGCGTCGATTTACTCAGGTCAAAGTGGTAACGCGTTCTATGCCGCGTTGTGATTCACGTGGTATATTTGGTTGCTCAAAACCATTACCGAGTGAATGGGAAATTGAAGCCAAAGTGTGCTCCATGGAAATGGAGTTTTGATGGAAATTCCTTAAGGTTGTAAATTGGCTTGTCCCACATTGATTTGGTGGGAAGTTTTGAAAGGGTTTATAAGGCATGGGTTTGGTACTTGGGGTGTGCCCCAAGGGATACCCAAGAGTTTTAGAGGGAGAGGTTATGGGCTAGACCCATTGGACCCAAAAATCACCACACGCGCGCTGCCGCCGCCGTCCGTCCAGTCGGGCTGGGCCTGGGCACGGGTGTGTGGTTGGGGTGGGCTTGTTCGGCCCAATACTAATCTTTTTGGGCTAAAAAACATTTGAATTTAATTTTATTTTTGGTAAAATAAAATCCAGAATTCAAATTAAACTGATTTGGATTTTCTGTACATCCAAACAGGGCCCTTCCCGTTTTCAAACAGAAATAAACTAGTTTGGAATTAATGCACACCCAAACAGGGCCCTTCCCGTTTTGCTATCTGTTTGAATTCAAAACCAACAGGTATCATACCTGTTCAATTCAAAAACCTAGAGCCACCATTCCATCTATAAATAGGACAACCCTCATTTGGATTTTGATAACTCTAATTTTCGTCCTTCATAATTCTGCAAACTTCCTCTTCATTTTGGTGTTTTAGAGGGAGAGGTTATGGGCAAAATAGGCTAGACCCATTGGACCCAAAAATGGGCTAGACCCATTGGACCCAAAAATCACCACACATGCGCACGCGCCGCCGTCTGTCCGGCCGGTCGGGCGGGCTGGGCTGGGCTTGGGCGCGGGTGCGTGGTGTGAGGTTGGGTTGGGCTTGTTCGGCCCAATACTAATCTTTTTGGGCCAAAAACATTTGAATTTAATTTTATTTTTGGTAAAATAAAATCTATAATTCAAATTAAACTTATTTGGATTTTCTGTACATCCAAACAGGGCCCTTCCCGTTTTCAAACAGAAATAAACTAGTTTGGAATTAGTGCACACCCAAACAGGGCCCTTCCCGTTTTTTGCTATCTGTTTGAATTATTAACAGATTCAAATCTGTTTGAATTCAAAACCAACAGGTATCATACCTGTTCAATTTAAAACCAAGAGCCACCTTTACATCTATAAATAGGACCACCCTTATTTGATGTTATATATTCAGAAATTTCGTATTTCACCTCTGCTTATTCTATTCTTCATTTTGTTGCATTTTATTTCTGAAAAAAATAGTGTAAACACTTAGTGTGTTCGTAAGGCAAACAATTTGTAGTGCTGCTATTGTTTGTGGCAGATCATTTCATCCTAGGAGATAGACGTCCAAATTCTGAAAGCACCGTGGAGAGGACGAATCTGTCTTAAGGACACAGTGTCAAACACTGGACTTGATTAGATTATAATTCGAAGAAATTAAATCAAGTAAGTTAATTAATTAATTTTTGTGTTATTGTTATTTATTTAAATCAGATTTTAATTTTGTTTTTGTAACAGAATAAAATCTGTTTTTATTTATTTATTTTATTTATTTATTATTTCGAGTTTGATTTTTGTAATCAAACAAATTCTTCATTTTCTTTATTTCTTTATATTCTTGTTGTTGTTTTGTACACAACAAAATTTAATCTTTTTAAATACAGTGAAGATTGTCCAACATAGTCAACCTTGGCCTTCTTTTTTCTTGTTTGATTTGGAGGTAATTGAATATGATTTCGCGATGCTTCTTGTACTAACTTAATTGGAATTAGTCAGCTTCGCTATGAGGAAATTTGAAATATTCTTTCTTTTTATTGATGTAACTCTGTTTGACACGTTAATAAAGCATTTTGTTTTCGCGAAAAAAAAAAAAAAAAAAAAACGCGAAAAAAAAAAAGTATAGCCAAACCACATATATGTTAGTGTTCTTGTGTGATTTGTTTTGTTTTATTTTCTAATTTTCATTTGTTCTGTTTAAAACCCAATTGAAAAAATTTGATTTAGTAATTGAGTTATACAATATTTCAACTCCATTTAGTTATATATATATTATTTAAATGTCTTACATTTAAGATTTCTTCTCTTAATTCACATTTGATTATTGAAAATTCTGTTGCATTATTTTCTTTTGCTTTCTGAGGTAGAACATTAACCATGTTTGTTCAAGTTTTGTATGATGATTATCCATTGTTTATTTTATTTTTTCAAAATTCTCGGTCCTCATATGTCATTGAACTTCCTCTAACTAGCTTCTGTTAATTATTTTTTGGTGCAGTACAAAGATTTAGTCATATGCGAAATCAAGTGGAAAGATCAAGGGCGAAATAGGGCAAGATCAGGTGATGGCGAGGTTCTTCAAGCCGAGCCAGTTCTTAATGACCAATTGGGTGAATACCGCTACTTGAATTCCGAACAAATAATGCAACAAGCAACTACCAGCACCATTGCAGTAGAGCCGGAAGTCCAATCCGATGAACTCGATAAGCTGAACAAGGATACAGATTTTTTACTTGCTGAACAAGAACAAAGTATTAGGCCCCTTGAAAGATCTCCGCTGATGACGAGTGGTTTTGAAGTCGAATCGTTGTTGCCTACTGTGAGATACGAAGATGATATTCAATCCGCGGAGAGCAATTTAAGCATTGATATGAATGAATTACTCAATTTTCTGAATCTTCCTTCGACTTCAAATGTTCAGGACCCTGTGATTGAGTCCACGGATTTGTCGAAGAGAATGGCAAAAAATTCTGCTGAAGAAAATGGAATCTTCAAATGAAAGGTTGGGAATTGGGTCGAAAGAGTTTATGGAACAGCTGATGAAAGATCAAGAAGAAGACCCTTTCTTGCTTGACACTAGGTGGGTAAAAGATTTTAGATTTGGAACTATGAATTGGATGAGTTACATTGCAGCAAGATATTCTGTTTTTTTTTTTTTTAGTTGAATTTCTAATTAAGCTGTTAACTCCATGTTTGGGTTTTCTCTGCCTTGGTGATTGCACATGATTGGCTTGGCTCGGTATGTGCAAACCTAGTTGGGATGTACTCAAGTCCGCAATGATGCATTTTTATCACTTTGGCCTCTCTGTATGTATAACTTTAATCTTTATACATTATTAAAGCCTCTCTGTATGTATAACTTTAATCTTTATACATTATTAAAATTTCAGTTTTAAATGTTCTTACATTGTTATTAATTGTTCAAAATCATATCCATTTGTGTTGTTTAAATGTGCTGCTCACAAGTAGTAGTAGTTTTGATTTGTGAATAGAAAAGGAAGATTGATATCTCCAACTCTACTTCTGGTATGATTTGTGGTTGTTGCACACTGATTCAAAATTTTTTACTTTCCATTTATGGAAGTAAAACATAAAAAAAAAGAAAAAGTCAAGCTTCACTTTTGAACTTCAATATAGCTTCCATAAATGAACAATGACCACACTGATAAGAGCATCTCCAACCCACTAGGCATATGATGCTTGTTAGTTAAAATGCCTAATGTGACTCACTTTTTTCAACTCCAATGCACTAGGCATATGCTTAGGCATTTTGGCTCAGCTCACATTCACTAGCTACATGTAGCTAGCCTTCAAGGCTAGGCAAAATGTATTTAATCATTAAGATTATTTCCCTCCATCTTTGTTGCTGACGTGGCATTCTATAAAGTTAATAGTATTTTGATGAATAGCTAAAATAAAGAGCATGGTTAGGGTAGAAACATGAAATCGTTGACAGGCAAAATAAAATATATACTTTATAGTAATATTTAGATAGGTAAAATGCCTACTACCATTGAAGATGCTCTAATGTGACAATTATCAATGTGGTTTTTAATTTCTTTTTTTTGGAAGCTTTTGTGGAGCCTCTAGTCTGTCTCTTATGTGTTTGCTCTGTTTTGTTGAAAGTTTATTATCACTTTGTTGAAATGTACTTTTTAGCTTTTGGTACAATTATAATGGAGATTAAATTTTATCTTAATACTAATTTGGAATTATGAATTGCCTGTCTCAATATTAATTTGTTTGTCAGTTGACTTTCTAAGCTGCTAACACTGCGATTTGAGTTGTTTACAAAGATTTATTAGAAAAATTACTAGATTTTTTTAAAAAAAAATTTTATACATTGTTTTGGCAAAATTTGAAAAAAAAAAAATGAGGGATTTGGCCATTGTAATTATTCAAAGCCAGTCCACTTCTAATTGCTGAAAATCATATTTTGTTTGTTCTCTTATTGCTTTTGGTGTTGTTCGGGTTGTTGGTCCTTTGCATAAAATTGTAAATTTTGCAGATCCCAAAAGAAAAAGAAAAAATTTCATGCAACTAATTGCAATTATCCTCAACCAAATGAAGTGCAAAATCATTTTTCCAATTTTATGTTGAAGTTCGAAAAGGTTAATTACAAAACCGTTTCCACCAGTTTTTTTTTTTTTTTTTATATAATTTGGTGAAAGAAAAACAACTTTATATTATTGTTTTCTTCAAACCCATGAAACCATTCAAAATAGGCTAAAATCAATGGAATCAAAGTAGGATGGCCCTCCCAAAAAATTGTTAGACATTTCATTTCTAAATTTGAATTTTATAATCACTATGCTTGGTTATCATTTTTTAAAAACACTTTTCAGAAAATTCTACTTTCTTATTTTCCGTGTTTTTTTGTTTTTACTTATTTTTTTTTTAATATTTTGAACAATTTTTTTAATTTTTAGACATACCTAACGTAAATATACCTAAAAAATAAAAAAAAATTGAAAAAAACCTTTTAAAAATTCACTAAATACGAAAAATACAAAAAAATATGAAAATTCAGCACATTTTTTTTGTATTTTTATGTATTTATTAATTTTTAAAAATATTTTTTCACAAATTTTTTACTTTTTAGATACATTTAAGTAAGGTGTATCTAAAAAATTAAAAAAAAATGTTTAAAATTTTAAAAATATTCACTAAAAACAAAAAATACGAAAATCAAAAAACTCTGTTTTCAAAAAATTTAATTTAAAAAACTCAAACCAAACACACTAATTTTTTTTTTAACACTAACTAATTCCCATCTTACCCACACTTACCCCACTCCTCCCTCTCAAAAGACTAATCCTAACCTCCACTACCCATCATTACCAGCACATAGAAAGGGAAGGGATAGAAGGGGTAGTTGCAATTTGCAATAGCTGGAACAAAAGAAGAAGAAGAAGAAGAAACAGCAAAAGGAGAGGAACTAGGTGCGACGAGGAGGGAAGGGGCTAAAGAATTACACAGGTGGGGGAGAGAGGGATGTGGAGGATGGAGGAAGAGGAAGCAAGGCATAAGGGAGGGGAGAGGAGGCAAGGGAAGGTGGTCGGAAGGAGCAAGAGGAGTTGTGGTGGTTAGGGAGAAGAGGAAAGGCCGGGGTGGGTGGCTAGAGTTTCCCTCCTTTTTTAATAATTTAACTAGAGGGTAAAATGATATTGAAAGTAGATTGCATATTTAAATTTGAGAGAAACTCAATATTTTTAGATTGTTTGATAATTGAAATATGATTGCAATCGAAAATATGGTGGGCCTTATGTGCTTCTTAAATTCTATCAAATTCACATTTAAATTTGAGAGAAATTCAATTCTTAAAAATTAATGATGTAGATTGAGAAAAAAATCAAAAAAATTCAAATCGTGTGTGATACGAATTGAAAATGTAGTGTACTCATACAAGTACTCGTGTGCAAATAAAATTTTTGACAAGTGGCATTTAAAATTTTCTACACTATATAGGTCCCGTTTGTTTTGGGATGTAGAGGGTGAGATGTGATTAGGATGGAGGTGAAACCCATTTAGTATTGTGTGTGTTTGTAGAGTTGAGGAAGGGATTATGATAGAGGAGGGGATTAAGATGGAAGTTGGAAGGGGGATTGAGATAGAGGAGGTGAGAGTAGTATTAGAAAAATAGTGAGGGGACATGAAATTTTTTTATTTTTTACATGTTAGGTTTTTTTTTTTTAACATTAATGTTTAATTTTTTGTATTTTTTTATTTGTTTTATTATTTTATATAAAAATAATTTAATAATTCTTATACTAACAATTATCATCAAAACAAACACAATTTTACTTAATCCCCTCACTAACAATCCCCTCAATATTAATCCCCTCACTATGAATCCCCTCCATTTTATCTCTAAAAATAAACAGGGCCATAGAGTAATTTCTATTTAAGGCATAGGGGGCTATGCTTTAGAAGTTCCAAATTATTTTTATTTTATTTTGTTTTATATATGTTTTTACTTTAGAAGTGCCCAATTATTTATTTTATTTTATTTTATTTTTTCTTGATTTATATAGTTTGGCTAAATTAAGGTATAGCATTAATATGACAAGTGAATTTTTTTAATGTATAAAGTCTTTTAAAAAAAAATTTATTTTGGATTGTAGACGTAAAAAAACATATGCCTTTTTACAATACATAGACAAAAACATGTCTTTTTTAAAAAAACATATGCATAGACAATTTTTTTCCTTCCTATCTTTCATTACTTCTCTTTTCCCCTTACAATCATCAACCTAATACACTCTCTCTCCCTCTCTCCATATATATATACTAGCGTATGTCTGTACCTGAAGGCACGGTATAAATAATGTTAAGATTAAAATATAATTATAATCTCAACACTATTTAATAAATTATAAATTGACCCATAAACAATCTAAAATAACACTAAAAAGATGACTCATGCTTCCTACAATTTGCAGTGCAAAGCACAATTCAGACTACTAAAACATAATTTGAAGGGAAAAAAAAGCAAGTAAATAAACCAACTAAATAATCCAATCCATGTTTACATTCAGATTGGGATTGGCTTGAGAGTCAGTGTCGCTGCTGATTGTTTCTTCACCCAACTGAGGCTCAGTGATTTACAGCAGATTCATCGTATACATTGATGCAAACAGAAGTTCATTGAGATGAGCAGGTAAATTAGTTTGAGTACAATCTACCAAATGATACCAAAAAAAAAAAAAAACAAACAAACATGCATCTCTAACAAAACTTCATTGTTTCTTTCCATTATTAACATACATACCTCAGAATTAACAAAAATAACTTCAGGCAACTTTATTACTTTCATCAACCAATTAGGTTTCCACGACACCATTTATCTCATCCAGACGTTAGAATGAAAAATGAAGGAAATAAAGTACCAATCTATATATAAAGTAAATGACAATAGAAACATCAAATTTTAGCAAATTACAATCCAAAATGTTAAAATTGAGTCAATTATGGGCAGTTTAAGAAAAATAGAACGTCGGTAGTTTAATACAAATTGAATTTCCAACGATTTGGCCATTCAAATTGTCAACTTAACACATTTTATCCCATTTGATTTTATTGCTCTGCTATTAAGTCATCTAATCGGCTGTTATTATTAGGTATCTAGACAAAAAGGATATCCAAAAACAATACTTCGCATTTATTAAAAGGCTAACATAATGGACATACTAAACATTATTGAACCTATTTAAAAAGCACTGGCAAAAACAAATACAACCTACCAAAATATATAAATAAATAAAAAATCCAAACTAAAATCTCTCCAAACAAACATCTAAGCCTCCTTGTAATTGAGGCCACAATCTCCTAAGTCTCCTTGTTATGGAATGGTTTCATCCGCCATAAGAAAAGAACCTATTAAAAAACCAAGCAGAGTCTGCTACAACGGGTTCATTGTCTTGATTACGCTACCAACAATAATAAGCATGAATCTGATTTTTTATGTCAAGAATTGCATGCCCAAAGCTTGCTTCACGA